CTGACAGCTTAAAGACACAGTGTCTGCTTCAAACCTTGTATGCAGATATTTTGATTGCAAATCAAAACAGTTGTGCCTAGCCAAATACTGTTCATTTAAAGATGAAATCTAAAAGGAATGAAGTGACTGAGAATTTTTCCATTTGAATTTTTAAATAAACATGCAGGCTAAATGGAGTACCGGAAATAAGGAAAGCTAGATATAATTTAGAGCTTATCCACATTGAGTATTTGTCTTAACTTTCATTTTTGCTGATAGTATTGGGACTTTTCCTGCTGTACACATGATGGAAGGTTGAAATTGGTATCATCGGGTCAAACAGAACACATCGTCTTACTTTTGCAGGGAAGGGAGGTTACACCACCACTATATCTTTTGTACTGTATTACTCTGATTTGTTTCAGGACCAGTTTGACTGGAGTACCATCTTGGTCATGCTGTTACGAGTACATGCTGTTTGTGGGTGTATTTGTATGGCTGACTCATCTCTCCAACCTATTCCAGTAACATTTGTTTCAAGCAATGGCTTGCTGTAGCACTGAGATAATAAGCTTCTACTGCATTTTGATTTTTTTCTCTCTCCCCTTTTTTGGTGTAAGTTTTGCAGCTGATGTTTCAGAATATAGAAATGTCAAATTTTAAAAGATATATCAATCAATCAGTATTGGTGCAAAGACAGATAATCTGTAAAAATAGAAGTAATGTGGTACAGTGGAATAGGCAGACGGGTAATTTTTTTTTAAAATAAGTGTTCACTCAGTGCTTAGGGGGGAAAAGCCGAACAACTATTTTAGTCACAGTGCAAACTTATGGGAGGAGAGAAGCCAAAATGTTTATTGCCTCACTGTATATACCTCAACCAGTCCTCTCAAGACACACCCAGCTGTGTTTCAGAAGTATCAAAATGGGAAAGGGGCAGAGCAACAAGAGCTGGAAATGGATGTCCATAGACAATTTAGGATGTATGTGGAGGAAACATACCAGTACATTCCAGTAGATTCAGCAGTAATTTCGTCCCACCTGTTCTTTGCATCTGGACACCAAAAAGGGACAAGCCCCAAGAGAACTCAGCCTTTCTTTTATAACCTGAAAAGACTGACGCTCACTGAAAACATCCACTTATGCAGCTTGGTGTGTGTGTATTCTGTGCTATTCCATCAAATCTGAATTGTGGTGACTTTAATAGAGTTTTCATGGTATATGAAATATTTTAAAGTGTTGTTTTACCAGTGCCAGCCCCCAGTGAATATCCATGGTCAAGCAGGGATTTGAACTCAGATCTAGTCTGTTACTTTATCCACTATACCAGTGGTCCACAACCTTGGGCCTCCAGATGTTCTTGGACTTCAACTCCCAGAAATCCTGGCCAGCAGAAGTGATGAAGGCTTCTGGGAGTTGTAGTCCAAGAACTTCTGGAGGCCCAAGGTTGGGGAGCACTGCACTATACCATACGTCTCATTATATCTCTGCTTTCAGGACACATCTATTAGCAAGCCTTTAACCACCTAATGCCCTCAAGATGTTTTAGATTACAAATCCCATAATATCTGACCATTGTCCATCCTCTCTGATACAATTGGGACTTGTAACCCAAAACATGTGTTTCCTAGTGCTCCCCATGTGGTACAAAAGTAATGGATGTAAGTCTCGGGAATGGTCTTACTGCAATCCCTTTTTAATGCTACTAAGTGAAAGCATAGCGGATACCTTCATTCTTGTAAACTACATCAACAAAAAACATACTTCTAAAAGTTATCTTGAAAACAGCTTTATACCACTTCTGAGCAACTGGCTTCAGGATGCTATACAGTACGTAAAAGATGCCAGTGGCCAGTATCCTATGGCTAGTCGCAAATAGAGTAGACTGGTGCGACTGACATTAAATATGGACTTAACCATTCAACCGTTGATTCACTGAGTCTGTTAAGACTTGCAAAAGAGATACAGGAACTGGTTTTATGCATTATTGTTTTGGGCCAACTCCATCCCTTAAAACAGTGGTTCTTAGCCTTTTACATCTTCCATATTCTTCTATGGACAGGATAGATAAAATAGGAGAATGCTGTCAATGTATTTATGGCTTAGCTGGTGCGCACAGGGAATGGGGTCATTAAGAGTAACACTGGCTCAATCTTTCATGTAACTTTACACAATAGATGCTGATTAGCATTCGCTGGTAAATTTAATTCAAATTATTTGAATGCTTCCTATCTCCCCATTTTAGAGCCCAAGACTCCCTAGGGCTCATTTTTGCCCTTGGGAAGCATTTCAGAGTCTTGATCCAGCAGTGGGTTTTGGTGATTAAAGGCTTCCTTCCCATCCCGAGGTTCCCAAATGCTTCCCCAAGACAAAATGTCATCAAACATACATAAAGAAGATTTTGGCCACTGAGGGTCAAATGTTACTCTTAGCATGCCAGAAGGTCATGGATAGACAATCCATGCCAGGTAGGGTGAGTAAGATATGGCGTCTAAAACCTATAGCAGAATGTGAGGTTAAGGGAGAATGAATTCTTAGAAACTATTATGAAAATTCTGAATTCAGTTTAGGCTTCTTCAACATCCCATCAGCAATTTCTGTTCTTCTAGTTGAGAGCTGCTGCCTTAGCACACAGCAAACATGTTGATTGACAGAAAACATGAAGGGCTGGAAGCCTGTGTTGCCGGAAACCCACTTTCTGTGTGTGTGTGTGTGTGTGCGCGTGCGTAAGGGTGGAAGCCTGTGCTGCCAGAAACCCACTTTGTGTGTGTGTGTGTGTGTGCGCGCGCGCGTGTGTAATCTAGAGTGCCAGCTGCTATTCCAATTCAATTTAGAGAAGTCAGTGGCCATCTTAACTCTCCTTTAGACTGAAGATGTGTTCATCAAGTTTTGTAAAAAAACAACAACCAAAAAAACTACCCTTCCTTAAATAAATATACTACTCCTGAATGACACTCTTGTGCTCATGAAGGTCAGATGATTGACTGAGGAGAGAACGGGGCTCTGTCTACCCCCAGGCTAGCTCCATGGGGGAGAAAGACATCTTGTGTGTTCCCACAAGAACTGCTGCATTTCCCCCTCCCGATTCATGAGTCTGCTCCTCCAGTAAGACTGGAGTTCACTGTTAAGACTGGACTTCATCCCCATTTGCGCTATTAAGATTGCTAGGGACTATACTTAGTCAAAGTATTGAAGCATCTTATTCGCCTGCAGTGTCAATATAAACGAAAATAAATATATCTATAAAAATATCTGCAGCTTCTCAAGACTTGGAGCTTCCTCAGCTGCCAAAATGTAAAAGTTATATCTCTCTCGGGGAATTAAGCCCAAACATTTCATTGCACCATTGCCTGTCATCTAGAAATCTAGTCTTTATATTGACTGAAAGAGGCTGCTGCTACTTCCCCCTAATGCTTAGCTCTTCATTCTTCCATTCCTCCCACAACTTCCATGGGGGGGGGTGCAATTTAAAGTCACTTCTATATTTAGCTAAGGATGGGCATTGCACCATTGCCTAATTTGTCATCTAGAAATCTAGTCTTTATATTGACTGAAAGAGGCTGCTGCTACTTCCCCCTAATGCTTAGGTCTTCATTCTCCCATTCCTCCCACAACTTCCATGGGGGGGGGTGCAATTTAAAGTCACTTCTATATTTAGCTAAGGATGGGGGGGTAGTTTAGCAGTGGGAGACAAGAGGAAAGCCCAAAGCCAGCAACAACCTTCCATGCTGTATCGTAAAATGTTTATAGAGAAAGGTAGGTTCTCTACATTGAAAATTGGCAACATGGCTTCTTTGCCACCTACCAAAATATTTAGAAGACATATTAACTTGATTGGAGAACATCCAGCCATTCATGTGGGAAGAGTAAATATAGCTTCCATGTGCAGACTAGCACAGATGCGGCCATGATTTGGTTTCAGAAAGCCTTGGTATGCAATGAATTGTGTCTCCTTTGTGTTTTCTAATGTGGTAAAATGTATATGATACTCTTCTTTTCTTCAGGACTGTGCTGTGGGACAGATGCTGGAAATTTTCAGTTCTTTAATTGTAAACCCTGGATCGTCTTCCTAATATTTAAGGTGATTGCGGCCACATTTTTCTCTTGTTCACTGGAAAAAGGAAATAAGCCAGTGTGCTCTGAAACTCAACAGAAAAGATAACGTTGAACAGTGGAGACAGAAAATATTGTGAGGAGAAGAGTCTCATTATCAAGTACTGTACTAAGATAATTAGTGCTATTCAGAGCTTCAAGATTATGAAGGCAGAAATAAATTTAATTGTTACCTACCCAGTACCTTCCTTTAAATAGAATCCTCCTCCCCTCTGAAAGATTTTTACAGACAAGTAAAGGAAGAAGCACCATGCTTTATTTTAACCAGACTTAATTTAATTGTATTTCTTTCTCTGTTTCTTGGGAAACATTCTGTTTTTATTTCTTCTTGTGCAGTGCTGAACGTTCTAATAAAGTATTTTCATCTGTTTTCATACAATAAATAAACTCTCTGCACAGTTTACAACTTAAAAAAAAAATTAAAACAGAAACTTTCAAAAACAAGAAGAATGTGGAGATGTCAAGACGTAGTGGCCCCACTTATAAAAGGCCACAGCTGTTGTGCATAACTTTAGAAAAGAACAGAGAAATTCTGAAAACAGAATAGAAAAGCACAAACAAACCTAAACAGCAGATGCAATACATTGTCACATAGTAAACTCAGTGTTGACTGAAATGTTTCATGAGCCAGAAAGAATAATTTATGTTTGGAGTGAAGGCAGTTATCTACAAATTGGAGTGCTAATCTGTTCTGTACATCTTGTTTCAGAAGCAAAGCTCTTCTGTAAATCTTTTCATGGACACAAAGACTCCCATGTAATTACTTAGCACTAATTAATGCCTTTGGAATGGGCAATGTTGGTCTCATCTCTCTTCGGAGTGACATATAAGAGATGGGTCAGATGGCTTTCTATATGAAACACTTTATTACTCAAAACTAATATTAATACAGGTCACCATGTAGGGGACAGGGGAGGGCAGTTTGGGGTCCTCCAGATGTTGTTGAATTGTAGTTGCCATCTCTCACTACAGTCCGACAGAGCTGATATGAGTGCGAGTCCAACATCTGGTAGATTTCAAGTCCCCTTCCCCTAATGTAGGCAGAAGAATGCAAAGCACACCATCAAGTGTAGAGTCTGTAACTTGTGTTTGTTTTGTCATATGCACCCAAGTTTAGAACCTGCTGCACGCCAGCTTCCCATAGGTAACATCACACACAATGCACCTGGTTTTCAACCAAGGTTCAATCTGTTTAAAACCATGACATGTTGCAATTCTGTGAAATCTGGTAATTTACCCGAGAAGTTGTAGGAGTTTCCAAATTGCCCTGCTTGTGGAACTGAGTGAGAAACCAAACATTCTAAGCCTCCTCTGACAATCCAGAAGGCAAAAAAGAAGCCACATTGGGTGAACCTACATGATCCAAAGTTATTCCTTTTCTCCTATCTGCTTCCAGAACAGGGTGGGGAGAACTACCCCAACCCTGACATTAGTGATTTTTAAAACTCCTTCCAGAACAGAAAACAGGACTTCATCTCCCATCATTTTGCCCCTGCAGGCACGTCAGGGCAGAGAAAAAGAACTGCATAGTTAAATCAGATGAACACTGTTTGGTCAAGGGGCGGTGTTATGTCCCTAGCATTGAACAGGATCACAGCAATAATCTTTGTGATGTGCACTTAAGTTGCAGACAGGGAGTGGTGGAGATAGAGAACCACAGCTTGACTCTCACATTTCTCCAGACAATTATGAATGGGAACTTCAGGTGACTGGAATACTGTAGCATTCAACAAGTCTTACAATTTGGGATAGCAAGACAAATGCAGCATGAACATGTTTTTACAGCGAAGACCCACAAGTTGTTGTTGTTGTTTCTGGTGATACATCACCATTGACTTAACTTTTCCCCCCAGTCTAGAGTCACTTCTATTATTTTTTAAGTATGCTGTTTTAACACCCACAGGTACAAAGAACTAATGCTCAAATCTCCTGTGCAGTGGAGAACCAAACTTCAGTGGGTGTTTCCCCCACCCCCCTTTCAGGGAAAGCAATGGATAAACAGATTTATTGAAATGTTTTCCTGAATTGTTAAGGATGAGTTCATACACTGTATGAATCACTTGGTAACTGTCCTAAATACTTGATCACTTAAACATGTGAACCTGGGAAGAACAGTAATCACTTACCATTCAAGCAAATATCCAGACTGATTCTATGGCAGATAATAAAAGGAAGAGTTATTTGTGCTGCTCTACTGTACATACAATAATCTTTAAATGTTAAACAGTTAAATCATTTCTAGAGCCAATAGTAACAAATAGGTGAATATTAGTTGAGGCAACCGTATGAACCAGGATGGACAAAATGCAATCCACTAGATGTGATTACAACTCCCATCAGCCCTAGCCAGCATCGATGATGGAGAGGGATAATAGGAGTTGCAGTCCAACATTCAGAGGGCTACACTTTGCCCATACCTGATCACACTCAATCTAGACCCTCCCTGTTTTCTGCAGGAAATCTAGTTTATAGCACAAACTCTCTCACACACATGCATGTATTATTCAGCAGCATGTCTTGCTCAGTTTGATGGAGCCTACCCCTTGGTAAGCAGATATCATATTGCTTGAGCCTTAGTGTCTTATAACTTTGAATGGCACTTTGGAAAGTTAACTGCATCCCAGAAGCAACTTAACCACTTTTTTTTAAATTCAGGAACAGACTGTTTTTATTTACACCATCACATAAATTTTTGTTTAAAAGATGAACCAAGTGTTTTTGGGTATACATAACACATCTGACATAGTGGATAACACATTCCTTCCGGCCACTGGTGTGTAATGTATTATTTTCAGTTCCCAATTACTCACTATATGGCAGGAAACAGGAACATGTTGTGTGCTATTCTCCATTGTTTTGAGTGGCTTTAAATAAATGTGGTCTCTCGTTCACCACATCTGCCCCCTCCCTACCCTGTAAAAATGGCTTTATAAGCCCTAACTGTTAACAGCTTCTGTCGGAATGATTTTTTTCCCCAAAAAGACAAGCAAAGCCAGATGAAGCTTCTAGTGTCCCTCTTAAAATAATGCATGATTCTACACATGTAACTTAGTCCATTAAAATGGGGGGTAATCCTTCCCAACACCTGAAGAAATTGTCCCTTTTTAGGTGTTAAATGAGCTGTGCAAGATGTCACCAGGGACTGCTGCTATTAATGGATTGTGCTTTATATATTTGGCTCTGCACAGAAATGAGAGACTTTGTGGTACCATTTGTATACCATGGCCTAATGTTAGCAAACTTTCTTCTCTGTACCCCTCTCAGCCTACTTGCCTGAAGAAAACCTATGCCATTATATATATTTTTATATTTAAGGTGCCATAAGACTCTTCTTTGTTTCTTGAATCATAGACTAAGGCAGCTAGCTTCTCTTCTGGCATTCATTCATATGGGATGTAATTCCAAATCTCAGTCTGCACCACACATTCCAGGCAGTGTAAGTACGTTAATGAGTGCTTCGGATGAACAGCAGTGCCAGAGGTGTGCTAAAGATTCATTAGGTGTTTGCTTCTGGATTGCAGGTCCTTGAAGCAAAAAAAAATTAAATAAAATCCACCCTGCCCCTCCAAACTCTTCAACCAGAAATGTATAAGATGGATTCTGTGATCAAAAAACCATAGTTGCTGTTGCAGACACCATTTCCATTGAATACTAGCTTCATTTATTTGCCTACACTGGCCTTTCATTTCTTCCTCTTTGTGCTTCAACAGCTTGGTCTATACAGAACAATTCCCCTCTCAAATTTCAGAGAAGAATTATTGGCAGTTTCCAACCAGCACTTTGGAGAACACAAAAACAATTATCGGGTATTGGTGGGGGTAGGAGAATACAATTAAAAATCACAGCCTTCTATCAGTGGATGAGAAAGCAGCTATTATCTCTTAACTGCCTCCAGACACTGGATGAGATTCAGTAACAATTGATTCAGAGACAAGTGAGAAAGCTGGACAGCAAAGTTAAAAAAGAGGGGGGGGGTGAGTGGTAGGGAGGGAGGGAGACTGTCTAACTACTAGTAAGATGGCACTGAGGAAAGTTGATCTCTAGGGATACAGGATTAATACTATACCATCCTCTTGAAGATTGTTTTCATAGATTGTTTTTTTTAAAAAGACACTCATTCAAAGGCTTAGGTGCAAAGCAAAACAAAACACAGTAATTGCATGAAACTGTTTGTGGTGTAGCCTGAAATACCCTAATTACTGTAGGTAGAGTCACCACCTTTGGCTTCGGTCCATGTATTTCCTTTCTGGAGATTTATGTGAACCAGTCACATCTTCTCTCACTGAAACAAGGCATAAATTCATCTGAGGATCTGAAGTACAACATATACAAAGTGTCCTATTTCTAAATGACAAAGCAGTCAGATTCCTTTGTGGCAGTTCTGTTAAAGAGCTTTTCTTCCTCCTCCTTCTCCATTTCTCCACACCTTTCCCAGATATCACTGTGATAAGTTTTTTTTAAGGCTGCCTTAGGCAATTTCAGTGCAATACTCTGCTTTCATAACATCTTCTCAGCAGGATGAAACAGCATTTTTTAAAAGGTAAAAAGTATCTTGAAAAATATACAATTCTTTCTCTTTGGACATTTTTTTCATGAATGGACTGTGCCTCCAGCAAGGAGGATGTTGACATGAGGTAGAGAAATTAGAAACCAGTATTCACACTCTACACTGTGCCAACTTCTGAAGTCTTCTTCATGTCAACATTGGGCCACCTTATAATCCATCAAGAAGCCTCAAATGTGTCAGCAACGCAGAACGCACCTTGTGTAAACCAAGAAGAGCACAGAAAGAGCAGATGTGTGAGGCAAGCTAGCCATGGTTAGCTTCTCCATCAACTTATTCTGCTATGTGTTCCTTCTCCAGCAATTTCTGGTGTTCTGTCTTTTGTTCAGTTCCACAAAATGCTACAATTAAAAAAAAAACCCCACCAACCCCAACTCCACCTTTACGTGACCCAGAAGGTCCTCCTCTCTTCTAGCAAGCTAAAAGATCTGTTTGTAAGTGTCTCAGCACTGTTGGCCAACTTGTAGCCAAACAGGTTCATGGCGGGACTGCAGACATCCTGTACCACCTGGGCAAGTTTGAAGGGGATACTGAACCGCCATTTCTCAAACTGTTCAGAAGAGTTTTTCTGAGTGGAGTAGATACCATTGCTATCCTGAGGTGCCTGAGTGTTCTTCCGGATCCAGTCTTCAACCTGTGGGGTGATGGTGATGCCAGTGAATCTGTACATCTCCTTGGCCTTTTGGAGAGGTGACCTGGCAATGTCCTCATACCGGACCAACATGTAGCGACCCCGCAACCATGCTGGCTGCTTCAGACCAAGTTCAGCTGAGAGCCGGATGTTCTCACAGTTTCCTCGCAGCCTCTGTACCTCTTCCTCATTAAGGGTTGCTGCGCCTTCAGAAGCCCATTTCTTCCAGGTTTCATACTTACCTGAGAAAGCAACCATGCGAGAAGCCAGCACTGCCCGAGGGTCCCGTACTAACTGAATGATCCTCATGTCCAGGCGAGGGTCTTCAACAAGAGGGCGCAAGAACTCCAGCTGCCGAATCCGCACTGCCTTCAGTGCCATGTGTTCCTTGTGCAGGCAGGCCTCTGCAGCCAGAGTTACATTTAGGGGGCCACAGCGGCGATTCTTGCAGTGGTACTTCTCAAATACTTTCTTGACAAAAGGGGTGCAGACAGGCTCTTCACACAGAGAGCGGCTTGAACCACGGCGGAACATAAAGGGAGTCAGGTGATCCTCAGGGAATGGAATTATGAAGTTCTCCAAAATATATAGGTCACAGAGGAAAAGTTGCTTCAAAACATCCCTGTAGACAAGGGCTGACCCCACAGCATTAGCACCTCCAGGCTCAAAGGAGACAGTCCTTTCAATGTGCCACAGTGGCTCAAAGAGGTAGAAGATACTGCCATGTTGGTTGAAGAACTCCCCTACGAAGGAAGAACCAGTGCGAGTCGTAGCCATTAAGAGAACATGTTTCCGGGTCCCTTTAACGGGTCTTGGCAAAGGTCCTCTCGTCTCTCCAAGCTGCGAAGTGACATTCTGAAGATGGCTTTTGAGCTGGGAAAAAGCCAAATCCAGCTCATTGAAGGATAAGAGGGAACCATTTTCTGTCAGCACTAAGCCAGGGTCTGTGCTATTAGCTTCCATCGAGGACTGTGGAGACTGCTTTAGTTTGTCTGACACCCTATAGAGGAAGAGAACAAAATCATCAAGACTATTACAAGAGAGACTGTATCTGCAGTTCTGAAATTACTTCAGTGGCTGTTTTTCACAAAGAAGCAACTCAGTGTTTTCACCTATTCCCTAATGAGGTGTTCCCCACCGAGTTGCCTGTCAACCCACTGCCACAGAAATGTATGGGTTACAAAGGAACTCAGAGAATATCTTAGGGAACACACTCAAGCTGTAGATGACACAGCCCCCATGCTTGCTGGGCCTTGCTGTTGGCTCATACTAAGAACCAAAAACATGACCCAGAATAATAGCTTTTGAGGCCACAACTCCCAGAATCCCTCAGCCAGGATGGCACACAGTCACTCCTGGCTGAAGGGTTTCAAGAGTTGTAAGCTCAAAAAATAATACAGTGGTGCTCCGCTTGACGCTTACCCCACGTGATGTCAAAATCGCTTAACGATGACTTTTTTGCGATCGCAAAACAATGGTTCCAATGGGGTTTTTTTGCTTGACGTTGATTAGGAGTCTGCTTCGTGAACCATTTGTTCACTAAACGACAATTTTTCCGGCCCTGCAAAATGGCTTCCCTTCATAAAATGGCTTCCCTCTCTTCTCAAAATGGCTGCTTTCCGGACCCCTGCTTCGGAACACAGCGTTTTTAAACAGCTGATCGTCAGTGCTCTATGGGCAATCTTCACTGGACGATGAGGTATTTCCCCATTGGAATGCATTGACCGGTTTTCAATGCATTCCAAAGTTTTTTATTATTATTATTTTTTTGCTTGACGACAATTTCGCTTAACAGTGATTTTCCTGGAATGGATTATTGTCATCAAGTGGGGCACTACTGTATTTCTAAATTCTGCCAGGAACATAACCTAAGTTTTCCTGCATTTTCACATTTCAGGGGAAGACAGCAGCACTTGATCTTTTTTCCTAAATGAATGAGTGCTTGCTAATTCTGATCTTTAAAATGGAACCCCTGATTTTCAAAATAATCCCAGTGTTCTGCCAGAATACAGTCTAAAATCCAACGCCACCTAGGTATATACTTCTGTATCACTCAAAACATATGAATCTAGTCTTCTTGTAGAAGCTAAGCAGGGTTAGACCTAGTTAGGTCTTGGATGAGAGACCATCACAGAATACAAGGGATCTGTAGCTAGGGCTAGAAAGTTATCCTGCCTGAATACAGAGAGGAACTGCCAGTCAGAGTTAACAAGAATGGGCTAGATCAGGGGTCTCCAAACTTTTCGGTGTGAGGGCCACATCATATATTTTACACATTTTCAAGGGCCAAAGGAGGGAAGGGGGACCCCAAACCATCCCCCACCCCCTCTGTCTTTGCCATTATAATAGCATGATGATTCTCTTCTTCAAACAGAAAGTGTTACATCCATTTTCTGAAATGGCTATGAATATAAGGGAAGGTGACCAAATGCAAAGAAGTACAGAGCTCCTATACAATTTGGAGCTGGGTAGAAAAATGCACCTTATTGAGCAAGGAGGGGAAAGGCAGGATTTTGTGAAACTCCTCTGCTTTCTAAGAGAGTCATTTCTTTAAAAAGAATTAACTCTGTATTTGGCTGATTTAGCTCAAGTAACTTACTGCTGTGTATTTGTTGAGGTGAAGGTGTTTTTTAAAAACCTAGTGCAGGGGCAGTGAACCTTTTTGGGCTCACATGCCCAAACTGGGGGGCGGACCCCAGTGAGCGGCATGCCGTGGCGAAACTGGAAGTGGCGGTGGCGGAACCAGAAGTGGTGGCAGAAGGGGGAATCCTGGGTAGAGAGGTGCCTTGAGACTCCACTCTGGATCTGCTGGCACCACCAGCTGCTCCGGATCCACCTGTCAAACCGTCAGCACCACAGTTGCAGCTGCCTTCTCTGGTTTGGCTGTGCGGTCAAACCGTCAGCGCCGCAGCTGCAGCTGCCTTCTCTGGTTTGGCTGTGCGCGGGAGGGGGAGTAGTGATCCGGCGACTTATGACTCGCGTGCCCGCAGAAAGGGTTCTGTGGTGCCAGCTGTGGCACGTGTGCCATAGGTTCAACATTGCTGACCTATAGGAACCTGGCTGCATTCCTCGTATGAAAAGACATCTTAATTCAGACTGTCAGCGCCGCAGCTGCAGCTGCCTTCTCTGGTTTGGCTGTGCGCGGGAGGGGGAGTAGTGATCCGGCGACTTATGACTCGCGTGCCCGCAGAAAGGGTTCTGTGGTGCCAGCTGTGGCACGTGTGCCATAGGTTCAACATTGCTGACCTATAGGAACCTGGCTGCATTCCTCGTATGAAAAGACATCTTAATTCAGACTGGGAACAGCAGATATTTACGTTGTCCCAAAAGGCTGGCAGCAACGTTGAGCCTTGAAAGGTTAGTAAGATACAGTGGAAGGACAGTTCAGTGAGTTGGGCACCTGACTGTGATTCCACACTTTGCCTCTGGGGGCAGGGGAGAGCCAGCCTGTGTGGCCTTGGGCAAGCTGTGCAGTCCCAGAATACTCCCACAAGAAAATGGTAAACTACATCTGAGTATACTTAGAAAAACAGGGAAAGGGTTGCCATCAGTTAGAAAGGACTTGATGACACATGATGATGATGATGATCATGGCTACCCTAGGATCCAGAGAAAGCTTTTCTTCCACCATAGTTCTTCTTTTCTCCCTACCTTGATATGATGTTGTTCTCCTTCTCAATTATGACAAGGGCTACCACAAAGACCAGGAAGACAGCATACTTGGTCTTCATCCTGAGGCAGTGAAGCAACTCCCAGAAGTCTTGAGGTAATATGTGTCCTTTATCCATGGAGAGAAGATTTTGTGTTCAAGAGTTTGCAGAAGAAAGGACTTTGCTCCTCATGGAGGGAGGAAAAAGTCTCCTTTCAATTCCCCTGTTGTCCTTTGGTTATCTAGAATGCTCCCAGGGTTGCTCTCCTGTTGCCCTACAGAGAGAAAGGGTGAAGGGGGAGGAGAAATGGCATATCAGTGGGCTTTCTGTATGCATATTTAGATGAAAGAGATGTTTAGGTGTGCTGATGTTTGCCTCCTATGCTCACCTGCACATAATATTCATGCAGTTTTCCTATGCTTTGTTTTCTATGTCAAGCATTGGTCTTATTTGACCTTTGTAATAAAGGTTCCAACGGCAGGGAGCCCATTTCAACCCAAGAACTAAACTGGCTTCAGCAAAATATTGCAGATGTTACAGGCAAACAATAGCTAAGACTTTCCTGTACATATGCAGCCCCAAAAGTGTTCATTCTTGGGGGCAGGGGAGAGATGGAGAGGAAGAAGAATACAGTGTCTGGCTTGCAGGTCATAACTTGCCCATTACTGCCTTGGATAATAAGGGGTTACTTCACTATTTTATTTGTTTAATTGCTCATTTTATGCCCTGCTTTTCTTTTAGCAGAAAGACACAAGATGGTTTACAAAGAACTGCAACACTTAAGTATTAAAACAATTAAAATACAATAAATTACAATATGAAAGTAGTTAAACGTGTTACTTGTGAAGATGTACTGGCTAAAACCCCTCTAAAACAATTTAAAACCATGCTTAAAAGATTTTTTAATATACCCCAACTCCCTCCTTGGTAATAATAATTATGTCCCATCAAGTCAATTCTGACTTATGGCAACCCTTTTCAGGATTTCCTTAGTAGCAAAGGTAAAGGTAAAGGTTCCCCTTGACAATTTTTGTCCAGTCGTGTTCGACTCTAGGGGGCGGTGCTCATCCCCGTTTCCAAGCCATAGAGCCAGCGTTTTGTCTGAAGACAATCTTCCGTGGTCACATAGCCAGTGCAACTTAGACACGGAACGCTGTTACCTTCCCACCGAGGTGGTCCCTATTTATCTACTTGCATTTGCATGTTTTCGAACCGCTTAGTAGCAACCTACTTATTAATAGGCTGTCTAAAAAGAATATCTGTGCCTGCAGCAAAGGGAGAGGCTGGTCTCCTCTGGAAGGAAGCTTCACAACCAGACAACAACCATGAGAAGGCCCACTCTTGAGACCTCACCAAGTGTACCTGCAGGTCCTATGGAGTGGGTGGGCAGGGCCATTTGGCCCAGGGTTCATCTCATAGGGTGCCTCACCTCCGCCAGTGGTGCATGACTACCATACGTTCTAGGCATTTAAATAAATGTTTCTACATGCCATTCTTCATATTAAAAGGCTTTGTACACCTTTTCCCAAACCGGGGGTGGGGGGGGGCTCACTGTGTGAAATGTCCTGGGCCTCAGGCAGGCTCTTATAGGGAAATTTCATTCATTCATTCATTCATTCATTCATTCATTCATTCATTCATTCATTCATTCATTCAAAATATTTATAACCCTCATTTCTTCTCAAGAAGACCCAAGGCAGCTTACAATATTAAATGAATATTAATATGGCCACTCAAATAGCTTGGACACAAATCCTTTAGGATTTACCAAGTCAAGCCAATAATATGGATTGCGTTCATAGATAGATCATTGTGAAATGCTAGTATAGGGCTTCCTCTGAGTGCACACTAGCATTCCTTAACTAGTGTCCTCTATCTGCTTTGCACAAACACGCTATGCAGTGCCAGTAGTCAGTGCTCAGGGAGGATGATCAGGGCACTAGGTTGGTGAAAGATGGCCAGAAACTTGTTGACTTTTCCCCCTCTGTACCAAACAATATGATCACCAGAATGTGTACTCTACTAGCTAGAATGGTGTCATTCTAGCTAGTAGAGTACTAGTAGAGTACTACTTCTACCTGCAAGCAGGAAAACTGAATGCTTGAAAATCCTCTCATTTTTACAAAACCAAACCAAACATCTTGAGCACAGAAAAGTGGTACATCAAAAGAACTGGTACATCAAGGCTAGCCCTCTACCTGACATACTTTTCTTTCTTTTATTATTTCTAGAACAGGAAAGGCTTGTGGGGGGTGGGGTATCTGTCAAGATCACAAGCAACCCTGAATAAAAAGTATGCAATCCGTAATGCTAAGATTCTACAGAATGTGTGATTTGGGTTTGTGGCTCCACTTCTGCCTTTATTTGCTGCCACAGCTACTTATCTCATTAACTTTTTCTGTATTCAACCTCTACCTTCTCATCACATTTGTATTTTATGTTTTGGTGGCAGCGCACATGGTTAGTTAATCTGCTTGTTTTTTTGACACCTTCTTCTAGGCTGCAAGACAAAGACACATAGTGGAGGGAACAAAGGGACTACGTATGTATCAGCTTCCCAGGCAATTAATACTACAGAAAGACCATTCTTCTCTGCAAGTAAAGCTGGTACAGCCTTCAAACCTGGAAAAGATCTAATACTGTACTGTATCACAGCTGCAGTAAAAGAGAAAGTCAGTCTTGTTGCCCAACAAGAATTGATAGACTGATACATCATCATATTTGTTCCCTGTTGTATCTGTCTGTGAGCACTTGAAGTGATATACTTTTAGTACAAATTCAAACCTTCCTACTGAAGTGATATCTTTATGAGCCAACAAAAATGTTCAAAAACTGTGCAGAAGCAGATGCAGAATACACAATTTTTCAGGAATATTTTGCTTTCATCATTTGAGGCATCTGGTGGGGCCACTGTGAGATACAGGAAGCTGGACTAGATGGGCCTTTGGCCTGATCCAGCAGGGCTCTTCTTATGGTATGTTCTTATGAGATGTTGAAAGTAAGCAGTGTCGGGAAGGAGGGAAGAGAAACTGGAGGGAGGAGGGGAGGACAGATCCTCAGTCCTCATCTGAATGGTGTTCCAAGGTGTGATGCAGGAGTGATGAGACATACAAAGTAATGGGTCTTGTCAGGGGATGCAGTGTAAGTTTCATCTGTGCGGAAATTAGACACTGTAAGCCCTCCAAACAATGTAAGTCTCCCGCTCAGCACACTCAAAATCACATCTTAATGTAAAAGTATAAAACTTTGGATTGCAATACACTACAATACAACTCCCCCTTAAAAAAGAGATGAAAATCCAAACGGTGCTGGGGTTGTTTTGTTCAAGAGTAAACAATAGTAATAAGAATAAAGTTGCAAGAACAGCCACCAATCTAATATGCAAACGTAGCTTGCAGACAACGCCATCCATCAACCTTCAGAAAAGCTTTTAAAATCATTGCTCACTTGCTGTTGGAATAATGCAATAAGTCTTGAAACTAACTCTTTGCAGAGTTTGAGTCCTTATGCCACTCACTTTCAATGTGTAACTCCCCCTCCCCCAGGTTTTAAGAGCAGGAAGGAAACCCTCTGTAATAATCCACTAACAGCCTTACTACTGTATAGTGAATAGGGGTTCTCAGCTGTGGGTTCCCCAGATATTTTGGACTTCAACTTGCAGAATCCCTTACTGGCCCTGCTGCCTGGGGATTCTGGGAGGTGAAGTCCAAAATGCCTGAGCCTTGATTCCACCTTTACAATCCTATATGCCAACAAATACCATGATGGAAAGCAACAAGAAGTCTGATTTTTCAAAGGAGGACATTTGTATCAGTAGATGCCCCTTATCGTTGTAATTGTACATTGATGATGAGGGGAAACAGGTTTAGGAGAAAATACTAAGTGTCCACAGTTACTACTAGCATATTAAGAGATCAAAGGTGGAGAGTATGTAGTAAGTAGGATCAGGCACAAACTTGCAAGATGAGAAGGCGGCTGCATGGGAGTAAATTTGTAGTAATGGTTATGAAATCAGCTTGTTCTACCTAGACTATGTTTACGTCCCACCTGTGATACATGTACCACTAGATGAGAGCCACTGATCAGGAACAGCAAAGCTGCTCCAGAAGCCATCATTTTTATAGAAGCCTAAAAGTGTCCTGCAGTCATAAACCAAATTAGAATAGGAGCCCAAGGGGTGCTATAGGTAGGGGTCATCAGCTATTTGCGCTGATACAGTGGTGCCTCGCAAGACGATTTTAATTCATCCATTCCATGGAAATCGCTGTCTTGCAAAAACATCATCTTGTGAAACCCAGTTCCCCATTAGAATGCATTGAAATCTATTTAATGCACTCCAATTGGGGAAAAAATCACTTTCTTGTGAAAATTATCCATAGAAAACATCATCTTGCAAACACACAGTTCCCCATACCATCTTGGGGAAAAGCAATCCCCTCACCTGCACTGCCTTTGAAAACTCAAGGGGTCTCAGATGGCCTTACCTCTCTTTCTCTCTCCAGCAACAAAGAAAGAGGATAAAAGGAATCAAAGCAGCCCCCTGGCTCCTGACAATGATAACTCCATTTGCCCTGATCCTTTACCACAGAGGGGAAAAAGAGAAAGAATGGAATATAAAACATCATCAGGACTTGCTACCCTTGAAATAGGTCCTAATGAGGAAAAAAAGAGATAAAAAGGAATTTAGAAAAACCAGGGTTAATCACAAGTGCAATCTCCAATTAACATAAATTATGAAGTTGAGCTCCCCACATTTGGGGAAATCACAGGGATCAGCAACACACCCCAAGTGCAACAGATGAGTCTCCCCCTGGGGAAACCATTTTTAGCATGTGCTAGAGGGACATGGTGGCGCTGCGGGCTAACAAGTGCAACAGATGAGGCTCCCCCGGGGAAACCATTTTTAGCATGAGCTAGAGGGAGGTGGTGGCGCTGAGGGCTAAACCACAGAAGCCTGTGCTGCAGGGTCAGAAGACCAAGCAGTCATAAGATAGAATCCACGCAACGGAGTGAGTGCCCGTCGCTTGTCCCAGCTCCCGCCAACCTAGCGGTTCAAAAGCATGCAAATGCAAGTCAGATGAGGCTCCCCCGGGGAAACCATTTTTAGCATGAGCTAGAGGGAGGTGGTGGCGCTGAGGGCTAAACCACAGAAGCCTGTGCTGCAGGGTCAGAAGACCAAGCAGTCATAAGATAGAATCCACGCAACGGAGTGAGTGCCCGTCGCTTGTCCCAGCTCCCGCCAACCTAGCGGTTCAAAAGCATGCAAATGCAAGT